ACCCCATCCCTGGCACGGGGAGGGCACAAGGGACGGCGCCAGAGACGCCGCCAGGGGAGTCCAGCGCAGATCCAAACAGTCCGCGCGAACCGTCGAAAGTATCTGTTTGTGCAAACTGCTCTTGTTCGGTCCCAACTCCCCCACGCGAGCAAACAAGCGGAGGCAGACCGACGAGCAGACGCGGAGGCAAAGCGACGGCGCCTTGCCGTTCTCCACCAGTGCCCTGCTGGGCGGCTCGAGGTGGGGGAGGAGAGCTCAGCATGCTACACATTGAATTCTAAAGGTCTTTAGACACGCCCCTGATAATGGAATCCGACGCACTTCTTGACGGACTGGGGCCCCGTCAGGAGGGGACAAATACACATTTCCCCGCGGCACCCGCCGCGCAACAACGAGGACGACGAGATTCAAAAGGAGATTGTGAGCAACGCCTCCAGAGAAGAATGTGCCGATCTATTTTGCAATCCTGTCGCAAACGTGCTTAAAATTCCCCTGTCGCGCAGTGGATCCCAGGGAGCATCATTCCCTGGGAGAAGGAACCCCACAACTTTATTCAGCCCGCCCAACAATAGAGGGGAAATAATCTCCGCCGCGATGACGACGACGCTTACGACTACGACTACGATTACGACTACACCCACGACGGCGATTGCGACTACAATCGCGGCGACAATCACGAGTATAATCACATTTACAACCACGACCGCAATCACGACTACAACCACAACCACTGATTCCTATTTCCATCCTCATGAGAAGATGCTCACATATCCTCTCGCGTGTAGGGTGGTGGCCCGCAGATGGTTATTCCGTGGGAGAAAGGACCCCCCAACATTATCCAGCCCGCCAACTAATAGAAGGAAATTGCTTTCCGCCGCGATAATGACGCGGATGGAGGGGAGGAGGAGGAGGAGGAGGAGGAGGAGGAGGAGGCGGAGGAGGAGGAGAAGGGGCAGGATGAGGAGCAGGATACGGAGGAGGGGCGAGCTTGTTTCCCGCCGAAAGAAACCGAGGGGGGAGAACACGGAGATAAGGACCTCCTGAGGCTACCCCCGACATCCGAGGACCACGGATGGAGCTTGTCAAGTGTGCGCGTCGTGTCGGACATCCCCGGGAAACCCTGGAGAACAGGCGCGACCCGCGTCTTTCTTCGCGCCTGGAAGGCATAACCAGACGAAGACAGACCTGTGGATCTGTATTTGTGGATGCCGTGACCATGGACACTCGAACAATCAGATCATTGAATGACATCTGTGTTTTTAAATGTGCAAAACATGTTCTAAACATGTTTCAACAATGTTATTTTCACATTTAAATCATGCTTAAAACATCTTTTAGACATTTGGGAAGTATTTGGCAGCATGCTTCCTCTCCATTCATCGACTTCCACAAATCTGTATAGGCATACGCTTTCGGAAGTCCGCGCGGACTCCTCGGATCGGCACCGGAGTTCCCTCCTGGGCGTGTGGAGCGCGCTGGGGGCGGCGCCGGCGGCGCCGCAAGGGGTTCCAACGATGATCCAGGATTAAGTCGGGCGTGTTGCCCTACAGGAGGATCTTCGACGACAAATAAACAATACTAAACAAATGCTCCAAAAATGTTTAAACCAAATTCAAAAAATAGTCCCCAGACTATTTCTAAACTATTCTTCCTCCTGTAGAGGGACGGGCCCGACTTAAATCCAGGACATCCGCGCGGGTGTTTCTTCTTCGGCTGACCTGGGTGGTGAATTGGGCAGTGAAGCTCGCCGGATCCCACTTGGCAGCCGCCAGCGCCACAGCACGGGCCGCTTCTGTTGCAATGGGCACGGGCAAGCTGTGATGCCCACAAGTCGTGGTGCTGCTGTGTGATGCCATGGAACATGCCGTGTGCGTTGCGCATGCTTGGCTAGCCCAGTCCGGGAGGCCAGGGTTTTTTTGTGATAGAAGGGAGCCGCAGGAGCAACGGATGCTCGGACAGCCCAGCGGACGCCCGCAAGGTGGGTCTACGCCAGCAGGCGGAACAGCTATGCAGGGATGAGGGCGCATGCTGCGGGGTATGGCTTCTTACAGAAGCTATCAGCGCGCGCACCCTGGGTGTCGTGCATATGTGTGTATATGTATATATAAATATGAATGTATGTACATACGTACGTGTGTTTACAATTATCTCTATATGTCTATATATGTCCGTACGTCGGTATGCATGTATGTATGTATGCATGTAAGCATGCATGCATGTATGAATGTATGATTGTATGCATGTATGCATGTATGTATGCATGTACGTATGTATGTATGTACGTATGTTTGTATGCATGCATGTATGTATGTACGTACGTACGTATGTGTATGTATGTATGTATGTATGTATGTACGTATGTAGGTAGGTAGGTAGGTAGGTAGGTAGGTCGGTCGGTCGGTCGGTGGGTCGGTCGGTCGGTCGGTAGGTAGGTAGGTAGGTAGGTAGGTGTGTCTGTATGTATGTATGCATGCATGCATGCATGTATGTATGTATGTATGTATGTATGTATGTATGTGTGTATGTATGTATGTATGTATGTAGGTATGTATGTTAGTATCTTGAATGGCGCGTGCCAGTGGCAACCACAGAGCTGTTGTCGCAGAGGGGATCCACAGAAAGAGGGAAGCACTTGAGCGAGGGCGTCCCCTCGCCTTGTTGCCGCACGCAGGCTTGCCATGACTCAGAAGCTTGCAGAAATAACGTGTGCTGTCGAGCAGCGTGCAAACATCGATTGGCGCGGTGACGGGCTGCAGACACTTGTGCAGAATGGCATCGCGTCCGCAGTGGCAGACCACCGCACCGCTCGGACCCACGGGGGCTGATCTCTGTACGCGCCATGACCGAGAACTGTCGTGATGCTCCCCCCCCGAGCAACAGCGGCAAGGTGAAACGCCGGGTGACCGTCCAAACCGTTACATTTGAAGGATACGGCCAAGCGTCTGCTGCGTTGCTTCGAGGTTGCATGGATAGCGGCTGCAAGAACGCCGAAAGGAAAGACAATCCAATCCCGCCTACGCATACTGCGTGAACCACATTGAAACATCCCCCATGAGGGGAACCTCCTGAAAATTCCGTCCGACCACCGACAAGCAACAGTAGACCACAACATCTTGGAACAAGCTGAGCCCCATCCGTAAAAGAAAACGACTCCGCACGCACAACTCGCACGGGAGCGAAACACGAAACCAAGATTTCCTGGCGGGGGCCTTCTCACACAGGGCCGTCATATCCTGAAGTTCCGATGCCAGAAAGCCTTGTTTCACAGCAGTACGCTGGCATCGCCTTGAACGCGTCAAAGCAGTGCCACGGTACTGATTTGCATGATAAGGGACTCTGACCACACGGGGCGGCAAACGCAACGTCGGGGGGCAGGGGCAACAGGATGGGACTTTTGCCATCTTGCACTCTAACATCACTGCACGCAACTGCGAACATCGACCCCCAACAAACGGGGAACATATGATGCGATTGTCTCAAGATGCGCTGTGGAAATACCAGAATTCGAAGCTACCCGCGGCCATTCGCACACTGTCAAGGCGAACGGCCAGTCGCCATTGGTCTTGACTTGGCATCGGCGGTACATCACCGATGGACTCTCGATCGCGGAACCGCGAATTCCAGAGCGGGGTTGGTTCTTCGCGCCCGGGTCGGCGACGAATGGGCAGTTGGGGTCGATGCGCCCACCGAGCAAGTCCTCCCCCCTTGCCGGCGCCACTGAACTTCGTCAATGGTCGACAAACGCACAGTAGGAAAGCCTGCGGATCGTCGAGCACGTCGTTCTAGTTACGTCACGCCCCTCCGATTGAAGGACCGTTCCCCTGACGACGCAATCGCCATGGGCATGCCCGGCACAGCGGTGCGAGCAACCTGGCCACACATCTGCGGAGGCGTCCAACATTTGCGAGATGACACTCGGACGGCACAAGCCGCTGCACCGCGGTGCCATCTCGCCACACCACGTGCCACATAGGCAAGTACGCATGGGAATCAGCAGTGACTCAAATCACTGTTGAACATCGTCCCCATACGGCTAAGCTCCACACACCTGGGCGGGCGTCTGTTGGACATGCGGGGTGCAAGTCCTACCCACCGTGTGACGCGGTATCTCTATTGCCCGCAGCTCGTCGTAACAAAAATTCTTGACGATTATCATGGCGTGCGGCTACATATCCCATGCCCTGGTACCAATACCTCACTCTGGGGCCTGGCACGAGACCCAATCCGAAAAATGTGCACCCGAATACGGAATGTTCCCCGAGGGGCGTGACAATACCACTCAGGCTCATGAGGAGATGGACAGCGCGGGGCGACGCGCGCATGACAAACATACGGCGACAAACTTGCTGGAAGAGAACGGCCCAAAAGAGACGAGAACGGAAACGCTTAGAGCGAGGATGGTGGAAAAGGCGGAGAATGATGTGTCAGCGGCGTTATACATGGCTCTCATCACGCCCATGAGGAATGCCCATGGCTCCAGGAAGGGACGCGGGGCCCACAGCGCTGCCAAGCGATGCCAGGAGGCACCGGTACACGTTTCCGTCAAGAACGGGTCTATGCGTGGCCGTGCTTATTCAAGCCATTGTGCTTTGGGTGGTGAGGTTCGCACTGGGAATACGTCCCATTGCAGAACCCATACCATGGTCATTCATGATGCTTGTTGAACGTGCCCAAGAATGGACAAAAACGGCGTTGGTACAACCGAAATTTCTACGTCTTCGACAAACCATTCCGGAAACGGATGCGCGAAAATGGCTCGTGAACCAACATCCATGAAAAGGTACTGCTTTTCACCATCAAGCGCGTCCTCGTACAAGACACAAGGGTTCTCATGGGATAGTTACTCCTACGCTTCTTCTCCTCATCAGAACAAACCAACAAGTACCTACCTACTTCACTGTGCCCAAAGCGCCGCGGCTGGCGGGCCACTGGCAAGACATCCCCCCGTTTGCCGAGCAGCAGGCCTGTACTGGCCGTGGCGGTCTCGGAACGCGGCGCTGTCAGCGAAGACTGCCTCCTCGACCTTCATGTCGAACCTGTTGGAGCTGCCAGGGCCGGCCGAGTGAAAGACCGACGCGGGCCGTCCGAGCGAGGTGGCAAGGTCTGGCAGCTGCCACCGCGGAAGCGCTGGAGACACCCTCAAACACTTGCCTTTGGGCCTTAACGTCATCCTCCGACCTGCAGAAAATATGTACAATCTCTCTATATTAGGCAACATTGACGGCCACGTCATGGAATGTTCAATGGTCACGAACGCCTTGCTGTCACGCCGCGCAGCGCGATCCCACAGCGAATAGTATGCAGTCAGTCCCACCACGAGGCCGGAGAACGGGGCTCCCAAACTCCAATGCAACGTCACCCCCCGTATCCAGGGACGCCCGACCAGGCGCAGACAAGAAATCTTGGGGCATATTCTCGAACGATTGGGGCTTTCCGACAGCGCGGGTCGTTCGATATCTTCCGATTCTGGCCCACTGGTGGCGCTCACCCTTGAACGCCCGCGCTGGAGCCGCCGCCGCGTCGACACGACACGAACCTACCAGAGCCCTGGATAGAGGGAAACCGAGGGCCAGCCTCGATCGCGGCAAGCGAGCAGATGCTGACTGTCCTCTTCGGCGCGCAATGTCTTGCCTAGGACGAGGGGGAGGAGGAGGAGGAGGAGGACGAGGAGGAGGAGGCGGAGGAGGAGGTGGAGGAGGAGGAGGAGGGGGTATGCTCACATGCATGTACTTCTACACAAAGACCGCTCCCGCACCTCTCGGGGGTGCAACATCTGCTTCGGCTTACCTTCCACCATTGCAGCCGACCAATCTTTGCTCCCGCTGACCTTACGCCGGCACCCACCGAGAAAACGAACGCAACTCTTCTACCCCTGAAAGCTGGGGCCCGATCTGGAACATCTCGGATCAACTATGTGTGCTAAGATCTACAGGCGCTCAACGCGCGCGCGGGTTCTCAAGATCTACTCGAAACCACCGCGTGATTCGCGCACGATTGCTTTCTCCTGCCATTCCTCTTTTTCATGAGGGGTTCCATCCTCCTCGCGCTCCTCCTTCTCCTCCTCCTCCTCCTCCTCCTCCTCCTCCTCCTCCTCTTCTCCACCTCCTCGTCCCCCTTCTCCCCCCCGCGCATCCTCACCTCCCTTCTCCCCCCTCCTCTTGCTCCTCCTACTCCTCCCCCGCCTCTTCTTCCTCTACCTTCTCCGTCACTCCCCCCGTCTTTCCGCCATCCACCCTCTCAACCCTCTCCACCGACCCATCCTCGCCCTATCGCATTCTCTTCCGCAGCCTTGCAGATCCAAACTCCTTATCCCCTCGTCACCTTTCATTGTAATTATCCAGCTTCCCCTCCGGCATCTCTCATAGGCTCTGTTCGAGAGCAGCCTGATTAACAATGCCTAAAACAAGTCTTAACACGCACGCACAGACAACAGGTTCACGTCGTGATCCCACGGTGGCCATTTCAAGCCCTCTTGGGGGAGACTTGTCGGCGTCTGTTCGGGGCATATTGGAAGGCCCTTTCGATGGTGGCATACGGTCGCTGACTGTGTCCTGGTACATCTTGAGCGCACTGCCTTGGGAGCTTGATGCTGAAGCTGTTTCAACATCTGGGCGATCACCCGGGTCCTCTAGGGTCTAGGGTCAGACTGGACATGTCCCTCTACAAGCGGATTTTGAATTAAAAATGAAACATGGCCAGACATATCCGACATTGCTGAAAAGATTCAGGGAGGTCCGTTGGGCGGTTCGGAAGACATTCACCCACCCACCGGTCGGAAGCGGTCGGTAGAAACATCAAGTAGGAAAGCGTTGAACATAGATTCGGTTCCGTCCGCCCCCTAAAGAGGACGAAAAAGGCGAAGCCACTCGATCATTGAAGTGGGAAGGCGCTTTCACTAGATTGAAACCTGGGAATCCAAAAGTATCTACTTTCAACGACCGGTTGGTATCCTTTGAAAACACTTTCGGGGATAGGGGGCTGAGCACGGCGACGCAGCTGCAACGAAACACTCTGCACACACTGGCCCCACCTGTGCAAAACAGCGTGTGCCCGAATCCCTGATGATGTGACGGGCTTGTTTTACGTCTTTACTATATACTTGTGAAGGGGGGGCTATGCTTCCCCTGTACAGGCCACTCAACAATTTGTGGTACTCGCGCGCTGCACTTCTCGAAGCAACACAAGTGCATGTTCCACTTGGTCAGACGCTGTCTACTCCTGCGCAGAATTGCAACACATCTGGAATGCATCCATGTTCGGCTGCGTATGAGGCTACGACCTTTCGGCAATTACCTGTCTTCGCTATCTCGTCAACGTCAGACCTACATGTGACGAGTTTGTGGTTGCGGGCATGATAGCACACGTGCAACCTCCGAACCAAAGCCATGCCAACACCAAGGAGCCACCCCTGTAGCAAGCAAAACCGAGCCAACGGGGATGCTGAGCGTTCGACCATGTTTCGTGGGTTTCCGATGCCCCACTCACAGCCAAACTGCACCCGTAGTAGAGCTCGCATCAAGCGAGGCTGTGATGTAAATGGCATTCGCTGCTTGTCAAGAAGGAGCACCGTTCCCGCTGGGGCGCAAGAGCGCCACATGCCCCAACCCTAAATGGACAAATCTACTTTCGAAGCGGTCCAAGTAGACTCGCACACGGGAGCACGCACATAGTTTTATTCCAGCATAAAACAGTACCCCCCATGCACAGAGCGGAAATGCAACAGTGACGCAGGCAACAGTACACCTGGCAGTAACTTTCGGCAGATCAAGCTGAGCACGACCTTTGCCTTGAAGTGCTTCCCAAGAAGCACACATCGCTTCGAATCCAACGGCTGCTACCAAAGCCGATGCCAGTGGTCCAAAGGAGAAGCTCAGATAAGTTCTCATGCCAGCAACGCCAGCTTGCTTGAGGCTAGCCCAACATGTCTGCCAACACGCCCCTTCAAGCTTGCGTCTAAGCTCATGAGAGCCGCGTCGATCTTCACGTAGGGCGCGCACAATTGCGGGAAATAGTTGCAGCAAGCCCGTCAAGCCACCTGCAATTGCCGCAGCTTGCCCTGCTGACCTCAACTTGACCATCTCGCCATCGCACCAATCCAATCTCGCGGCGGCTTTCAATTCTTCCCGGTTCATCTCTCGGGCTCCCCGACTACGGTTCTGTACGCGATCCTCCCAAATCCCATTCCTGGCATCCCCCACGCCACCATCTTTATTTGAGACTATGTGACTCCAATCCTTGGGGTTGATCCCAGACGAAACGTCTCCCCAAAGATATCTCCGAATCGTGTCCGGAGAGCGCCGGAAGGTTTCTGGGATCTTCAAGTACTTCTGCTTTGCAATCTCAGCCCCCGCTGTCTGTCCCGGTCGAAGCCCCGCACGAGCGAACTTGCTGAAAATGTTCTTGACAGGCCAATCGTACATCATCAGATCTTCATACGCGATGGGCTCTCCAATCTTGAACAAGGATCTCAACACACCCTGCACAGCAATCGGTGGAAGAAGGTGGTATTCCCTGCGAAGCGAATGTCCATCAACTATGATTTCTTCACCGTCGCCCACCTGGTCGGCAAAAAGTTGTGCGTTTCCGACACCTGGGCGAACAACCATCAATCGGACCATACCAGCACCAAAGCGCACAGCTCGCGCTTCTCCCCGGGGCACAAGTTCACCATTGCCAATACTTCCAAGCGGTACGAGACAAAGTCGATCAGGTAGCGATGATAGAACAACCTTGATCTCTCCGTCCGACACATTATGTATGATTACTGCCATTGTTATTGAGTTGGCTGCCCAGAGCTCCAAACTGATCGCCAAGTCATGCTGGCTGGTCGGGTGTAGTGGCACCAGGAGGGCCTCGCGAAGCGCCAAGTCAGTGCGGACCCCAAGCTCTACAGGCTCGTTTCCAAACGCCTACGGATTTGCTTCCAGGGGCCTCTTGGGGTCCCTGGCGAGTGTTCCCGTGCCTCTTGGAGCTATCTTGCGAACTCTCGATCGCCCCGTTAGGCCATCTCGGAGCCATGCTGGGCGTCATGGCTCGTGTTGACGTTCGCTGGGTGCAGCCACTGGCGCCTCAGGGTTGGACCCACCAGTGAGCACGGGGGGGGTCCCACTGCTGTGGATCGGACAATCGCCCCCATAGACGAGTGCACATTTCTGGCACGCATAGCTGCGCTAGTGCACCACTTACTTCACCCGATGCATCGACAACCGCAACATGAGCTGCGCCAGCACTGGCCCATTCGCGGGCGCCACACGAAGCCCAAGACGACCCCGAGGCGGCCCAAAAGAGCCCCAAAAAGAGTGTCCTGCCCCGGAGAGGCCCCAACAGAAATCCTGGCCGGCCCGAAGACGGCCCACTGCGGCCCCAGCAGGCCATCGAGGCAACTACCACGATCCCCGATCGTGAAGCAGATGCGTGCGGGCCTGAAGAGGGGAGGGGATGTGAAGGTGGAAAAAGCTTGAGATAAAAGGGGAAAAAACTGCCAACTGCTGCCCCAGGAGGCCCTCGAGAGGCACCCATCACGATTCCCGATCTTGATACAGGTGCGTGAGTGCTCGAAGATGGGTTGGGATGTGGAGGTGGGGAAAACTGAAGAGAGGGGGAACGAGGGGACGTCGAACCCCTGCCGACGGCGCCCATCCTGGCCAGTAATCCGTGCTGCCTCCAGTCGTGGCGACGGGAACCTCCAGAAACGGCCAAAAATATTCGAAACGTCGTCGACGTGGGCCGAAGATGAACAACAAACTACATAAGCGTAATCTTTCGGACATTCAGCGCCGACCTAAAGAGACCCGCGCGGAGCTGCGCCAATCTGTGTGTATGCAACATTTTTCTTCTACTCCATGGCAATGATGCGGGGGGGGGGGCCTCAGCGCGCTTCCCCTCAACTTCCTCATCTTGACCCCGATGGAGGGCGCCTGGAAAGAATCCACAGCCGAACTGTCGCACATCTCCCGTGGTGCGTTCTGACCAGAATTTTGGAGCACGTGTTCTGTTTACGATCCGCGGTAACGGCCGCTACGGGGGAGGCTCCCCCCCCCTCACGGTTCGCGGAGGCGCCGTTTGGACTTGTTAGGGGTAGCTACTTCCCGGCGACTGCGCCAGAAGCATTATGTTACCGGCCCCATCGCCTCCCCCCCTTCCCCCCCTTGGAAGCGGCCGTTATCGCCAGGGAGTAAAACAACGGAACCTTGAAGGGCGTCCAGCCGAGGCGGTGAGAGGCCTCCCACAGACCCAACAGGGACCCCAGTCGTCCAAAGAGCCTGGAACTCAAGGGCTACAGATCCTCCGCCCGGCAGCCGGGACCTCCACGCGTTCGTCCTCAGCACCGTGGTCTTGCCCCCGCCCGACGGCGCCACCTGAGGAGGGGGGGCGAAAGGGGGGAGGCTGGCTCGGGGGGGGGGGAGGATTGACCTGCAATCGGCGATACATCGCCGATAGATCGGCGATAAGACCTCAATCACCGGACCGCTCCAGGGTGGGCGGAGGCGCCCATGCTCCCATCAGCGAGGCGGTCGACGCTGCCCCCTCTGGGCCAGTTCCCACCCTGCTTTTCATTGGGAATTACTCCTGGGAGGTCTTCGCAAGAAAGAATGTTCGCTACTGGGCCACATGAGGAGACAGCTCAGCCGAAGTGGGCCCAGCATTCCACCAAAGATTCGCCCGGATTGGGCACCAGCGGACCAGATTCTGCTGCATCGGCCTTGTTTTAGACCGCGGGTAGACCAGAGCCGATGCTGCGAATTCAAGCTCGCAGGATTCGGAGGCCTGGAAATAGGCACCAACACCAACACAGGGTGGTTGCCTCCACAGTGGGAAGATGATCCTGGATTTCGGTGTTGGTTGCAATATTTCGGTCACCTAGGAAGCCAGCATATTACCATCATCACCGAGATCGGGATCTTCTTCCCTCGGTGGATGCACACCGCCGATCGTGGTGCTGGTGTCAATCTCTAGGCCTGCGAAGGATACTTTACACGAGTCGTTGCCCCTGACCGCCACGAACAGCGCCCGAGGCCGCTCCCGCACGGGCGCCTCGCGCGGCCCGGCTCCGCCAGGGGCCGCAGACCCCCCCCACGGCGGGGGGCGGCGGCCCCGTCAAATGGCGCGCAAAGGGGGCCCCCGCGGCCTCCTTCCCCCGACGCCCGCCCGCCTCCCCTCGCTATGGAGAGCTCTCGACGGCTGGCTTTGGGGTGCTTCTGGCCTCTGGGGGACAGCGAAGAAACTCGGGGATCCACTGACCCGGGTCCATCCAGACGCGGGTCAGTCGGACCTCGCAGGGTCCCGCAGGATCCTGCAGGATCCTGCGCCCAAGCCCGGGTCAGTGCACCCCTGGCTCGACAGACCCATGGAAGCCCGCGTCATGACGAAAATCACTGCGTCAAGGTCTGGGCCTCTCTTGAGCCCGGGCCATCCTCAGGGGATCAGCGGCTTCGCACCTGTCTTCACGCTGCTGGCGTTCCAAGTGTCTCGCCCAGTGGCTGGCCGTGGGCGCGACTCCTGGGCAGCTCGTGCGCTGACCGGCGGCTCCAGGCTTTTGTTCGCCCAACTGCCGCCTCGTGGTCGCTCGTGCGCAGGCTTGCGTTTGTTTCCAGGCTGTTCGCTGGGTCGCTGCACGTGGCTGCACGTGGGCGCCTCGTGGGCGCTGAGTGTGCTCCCCGAACATAGCAGGCCGCATCCATCAGACTTGCACGGCCTACCTTGCGCTAGCCCACCACCGGCGACAATAAGACATACCCCCCCTTAACCCCCTCTGTTTTTAGTATCCCCGTTCAACAGGATTTAATTGTGGAGATCGGCGCGGAGGGCAAACTTTGTAATTCACGGGGGAAATTGCGAATCAAAGTTGCTATCATCTCATGTTGACTAGCAACATCATCAAACACGCTGAGCATGGCAATGGTGGTCTCACCACACCAGGGTCCGCAATCACGAGCGTGTGGCAGGGCTGTGGTATTCTCACCAGTTCAGCTTGCCCAAGTTACGAACGTGTGGCAGGGCGATGGGATTCTCACTTTCTCAGCCGTTCCCGAGTCAGGAACGTGTGGCAGGGCCATGGTGACCGATTGGATGTTGATTGTAGATGCGTTTTTCGAGCAGGCAGAGAGCATCATAATTAATTACTTTTTAAGCGCATCCCTCACACGGTTCGTGGCCCTTCATGATCATCGTCATCATCATCATAGCTGACCTTCCCCGGGATAATCCGGCATCATCCCCGCCAGAACCCCGAACTTCATTACTCCCTGGTGATTATTATCGCCCGCAAACGGTTACTACAGGGCTTAAACAACATGGGTTACTCCACGAAGCTTCCACCACGTAGCTTGTACAACACAGCTACCACAACATTGTTTCCCTCCGCCCATCTTGCACCACATTGCTTGCACCGCATGGCCTGCACATCCACAATGCACAGCCTCTGCTTCCACCGCATGGCCTGCACATCCACAATGCACAACCTCACTGCTTGGTATATGCATCGGTATGTCTTCTGCACTGACAGACGGCGGTCGGCCGATCGCTTGGACCTCGAAAACGCGTTCCCCAACAGCCAGCAAACATATCCAGGGGCGCGACTCCACAGGAATTCAAAGGGAACCCAGCCTCGCGAGAAGCACCCCGTCAGGCACGGAAAGGGCGAAGCGAACGTCCCACAACCTCGACCTTCGATCTCGATTATCGAACCTCCGTCCTCCTTGTCCTCCTGTAGAGGGACAAGCCCGACTTAATTCTAGCGCATGGCCGAGCGATGCACGCGATGTGGCGGGTTCGAAACAACCTGAAACCAAAACACCTTTTCATCGCATGGGAGGCCCATTTCTTTTTCCGCCGCCCTCCGCCGGGATTCCCCGCCGGCGGAGATGGTTTCGTTTTACCTCCGCCGCCTTCCGCCCCATTTTGGCGTCTTGGCTGTACTCCTCTCCCTGCGGGGCACTGTGGCCGGGGTGGGGGGGGCAGGAGGAGAAAGGACCCAAACCTACGGCGACATTCCGCCGAAGGATTTATATCAACTCCTTCGATCTTCGAAGGGGAGGGACCCCTTTCTCTGCGGGGGTGAGAAAGGGGGTTGGGGGTGCACTCCAGGGCGAGCGGACGCAGGGCGTCGTCTCCTCCGAGAACCTCGAGCCCTAAACTGTTCCGCATCGTCTTTGCCGCAGCTGGGGAATCGGGTGGCCGCGTCTCTTTAACCGGGCAGCCACTGCCGCGGTGATCCAGGCGTACCAGGATAGTGATCTCAGAACGCAAGCAGCTCTAGGATATAGGGCATCAGAAGCAAGACTCCTGAGACGTAAAACCGACGTGCTTTCAAACAGAAATGTCTGATACGTCACGCGGCCTTCTTAGAAGGTGACAATTCCTGGGACACGCGCATCTGTATACATTTGGCATCTCCCAGATACGATGTTGCTACTTCCGCTGGCTTCCGCCAACCTTCCGCCGGAGAAGGCGGCCTCGTTCTACTTCCGCCACCTTTCGGGGGCCTTCCGCCGAGCGAAAGACGTCACCTCCTTGGCTTCTCAGAAGCGAGCTCCTCTCTGGAACGCTCCATATTTTGAGGGCGTCTAGGCAGATCAGCGCGCTTCACCGCATAAGCTCTGTGCTTTCAAGGTCTCCCGGCGGAGGCGCACGCGCCAGCGCCACGCCATATCCGGGTGTCCTCCATGGCGAGCCTGAGCTCCTCCTGCGGCCGCGGCAAGCTGCGGCTCTGGAGGAACAGGCCATACAACTGCCTGCCTGCATGGCCGACTTCTGAAATTCTGTAGCCACATTGGTAAGCATCTTCTTGGAACACATGTATTACTTCCGCCAGGGGCCAGAACCGCCCTTGTTTGATTTCGCCGCCTTCCGCCAGGGAAGGGATATCAACCCCTTCGACTCCGCAAGACGAGGCTCATTCTGGAATGCCTCACACGAAGGCTACCCATACTTCAAGCGGCGAGCATCGGACGGCCTCGCTCCAAACCTTGGGGCAAGGCCCCCTCTGAAGCGCGATCTGGGTGCCCCTTTCCTGGCATCACTCTGGGAACGCGTGCGCTCAAACCAAACCCAGCTTGTAGTCATGTTGCTTCCATCGTACCGAAGGACCCCATCCCAAAAAATGAGTTCGAGCACCCCGAACAGTATCGAAACGGTGTCGAACGAATATCGCCTCCCAGAGACCGACACGTAAACAACCTCCAGTTTCGGTACTCTCTTGGTGCCCGTAATTCTTTCTGGTGATCAAGGCCAAAGTAGGCTTGAACAACATAAGCTTGCAGATAAGATGCAGTGAAGATCCAGCAGAAACCGAATTCGCACACAGAGGTCCGCGCGGGTTCTTCCCGGGTCGGCGCTGGCCCCCATCGCGGGAGGACCGACGTTGCGAAGGCGGAACATTCGTTTCGGCAAATAGTCCCCCCCTGGGACCCCCAAACCGGCGATTTGACCCCCCCCCGATGGCTCCCCCCCGGGCCCGGCACGAGCGACTCACGGAGCTTTTTCGGGCCCAAGAGGGCCCCAAGACGGGCCCAGAAGGCCCCAAGTGGCCTCCAAGACGGGCCACGAGGTCCCCGAGACGCCATCACACCGACCCAGTGGCTTCCTCACCGTGCCCGTGAGGTGGGCCCCGAGGCCCTGCCCGAACAGACGCTCGCTCCCGCGTGTCGGTCACGCTCGACCCTGTGCGAGGCACTGCCCGACAGAGGCCAGCTCCACGACGCTGCCACACCTGGGCGGGGGCCGACCGCTGCTCCTGCTTCTGCGCATTTCGATCAGCATTCGCTGTCGGCGTTCCCGGGGATTCTGTCCATTCGGGCCCGCCAAACAGTGGACGCTTTGAGCCGTTTGGGACGGCCTCTGCTGTTGGCGGGGACCCTCGCTTTATATCCACTAAGGTATCTTGGCCCTGTCCTATGAGACTTCGCAGAAACGCTACAGTACAACGTGTAATGTATCAGATCGCAGCCGCTTCTCTGGGCGAGAGCTTCCGAAATAAATATATGCACCGCGTTAGGGCCGCCATTCGCCACTGAGTGGTGGGCCGGAGGGGAATGAGAAGGTGCAGGCCTTCTCAGACAGCGCCGGGGCTTCTCAGAAGCCCTCGCGCCTTCTGAAAAGTTCCCTGTGTCTTCGGGGAAGGCTCATACAACTTCTCTCAGAAGGTCGGGTGCATTCCGAGCCTTCTGAGAAGGCCCGCCCCTTCTCACTTCCCCCCGGGACATAGTCTAGTGGACATGCTCCTGACCCGACGTTGGGTCTGGACACGAGAGAACCGAAACTAGGGGCACGCGCGCGAATTCTCTTGGGGTCGGCGCTTCGCCCTCCGGGCGCACGCGCCCTCCGGCGACTTGTCGGCTCAGAAGGGGGCAGTCTATGCCGCACGGGAGAAGCGGGAGTGACAAATTGCACCAGGGCCCTATAGGTCCTGATCCTGAGACCCAACGTCCAGGACAAGTTTTCGGCCTCCTATAGCAACCCCAGCCGGCCCCCGGGACGGTCACAAAAATGTTCAGGATGAAAACTGGACCCGGGGAGTGGGTCGAGACTCACGGGGACCCCGCATGCAAAAATCAAGCATCGGATCTCTGGGAAGCTTCCATGAGGGCGATTTGAGCAAGCGCTGTCCGATTTGGCTGACCATGAACTGCGAAACGAGGATCAAGATTCGAAACTTGTGTCTGCTATTGGCCCTCAATGGGCCTCCGGAGGTCTCCAGTTGAGGAGTAAGCGCTCGGGCAAGAATCGCTGCGGCCAGTGTTTCTCAACTTTCGGGCCCATGAAGCCCTGTCTTCCCTTGATCGAGGAGTGGGCTGCGCCAGACGTGACTCTAGGCGGCTCTCGGGCCTAGATGCTTGAGGCTGGGGCCCACGCGTGCGAGGATGCTATCACTAACTGCTTGCCGGATTTGCAGCCCTGGCGAGCCACCCACAAGCGTGACAGTGCTAGCCAACCTGGCAGGCGAACTCCAGAAACACTCGTTTCACAAGTGGGCACTCACCAGAGTGAGGGGGCCGAACGGTCATTCGCTGTGCCCGGGCGCGTGGCCGAAAGGGGGGCCCCGCGGTGCTGATTGTTGTGGCGTGGCTGTCGTCGTCCTGGCCCACGACCCGCTCATGACCCAGAGTCGACCCGCCCCCCCCCTGACCCACCCCTCGACCCCCGCCCGCGCTCGCCCCCTCGCTCTTCTCCGCAGCTGCGGAGCGCTGCGCAGGGCGGGCGGCCATCCACGGTCCCGCGGGCCGCTCCTCCGTCAGGTCCCGCATCGCCTGGCGACACGCGTCCAGCCCGTCCAGGGAGGCGAGTAGCTCCGGGTCCGAGCACACGGGGACGGGCAGCGACTGGGGAACCTGGGGCGGGCAACGCGCGCTCTGCAAACACGCACGCGTTCACGGCTGTCCCGAAACGAAGGCTTGGCCACCTCTCCTCCACATGTTGTGTGGGCAGCTGCAGTTTCGGCTCGGAGGGGCTTGGGAGCGGCCTCGGGAGCCGCCCTCTCGAGGCCTGGACGGGCCACCCAGCCCTGCCGCGTCGACGGGACGGCGAGACCTGGCGGGTCCATCGCCTGGGCCCTGGCGCTGGCTGTGGCGGCCACCGAGTGGCAGACGTTTGACCTTTCCGCGCGGTGGTCGTACGACCCGTAGGAGTACTACGGGTCCGAGCCTCTGGACGCGTCCGGGGGGGTCGTGGCTGTCAGCGAGTGCGGAGGCGTCCCTGCGAGCGTCATGGCGCCATGGGCGAGCTGGAACAGGGCCGACCTGCAGAGGAGGACGGGAAAACACACCGGCGTGGTGCCGCTGTTGGTGAGCCGCATCGGCACAGCCGAGTCAACGACCTGGACGTTGGGGGGGGATCGTGGCCCAGCTGCGGGACAAAAAGCACGTGCGCGCTCGCCCTAAGAAGGGCATTGTCTGGACTGAGCACTCTGAGCTGAACGAGAAGTGCTGCTCTGATCGCTGCGGACAGGCTGATCGCGAGGAGCGAGCAGAAGGAGGCGAAGGCTGCGAGCGTCAAGTCGAAGCCGTCCGCAAGGGACCTCTCGACGTGCGCAGGCAACTGCGTCGGGCTGACCAAGATGCTGATGATCATAGAGTCGGGCGAGGTGGATTTAGATCGTTACGAGGCGACGAAGAGCCATACGGACCCGGCCCTGCGCATCAAGACGGAGAGGATGAAGTGTGCGGTCAGGATGTTCGAGGCGGGCATGGTGGAGTACGTTCGGGAGGTGAGGGAGCACGTGGTGTTGTTCACGGTGGCGAAGGATATCGACCCAGTCTCAGAGGAGGTGGTGAACAGCAGGCAGATCTGGGATTGTCGTCGAGTGAATATACTCATCCAAGATCCGCATTGGGTCCTGCTGGGGAGCCCAGCGGGCCTGGCCCTGCTGGAGCTGGACGAAGCAATTTTACGTGGGCGGCGGCTCTGCTTGCTCCAAGGCGACATTCCGGACTGGTTCTATCGGCTGTGCTGGGGATCGGAACTGGCAAAGTATGTTGTGGAAGGAGCTGGGCACCAGCCTGAAGTGGCCGACGGCGGAGGACGTGTGAGCAGGGGCGTCAAGCTGGGTGATGGGCTCAGCATGGGCGGTCTACTTAGCCCACACATGCCTGGAGTCGAACTTCGAGATCCGGAAGGCCCCCACCACCACCTACGGGAAGCCTGTACCATGCTTTGACGCAAGCGGCGGCAGAGAAGCTCACCTTTTTCTTGTAGGTCGAAGACTGCATCGGTTTCACGCTGGCGGAACCACAGGCGGATGAGGAGGTCGTGAGGACAAGGACCAGATCAGGGACGCGCTGAACAACAAAGGATTTGGCGGGGGGCTCTCAAACGGACTCGGGCTCACCTGGTGCCCACTTGGGGCTGTTCGTGGGCGCCTCGTGGAATCCATCCATAGCTTGTACACCATAGCTTGCCCCACATGCACCACGTAGACTGCACCGTATAGCTTGACCGGCACAGCTTGAACAACACAGTGTACAACGCACAGCTTGCACCATATGGCTTCTACCACAAGGCACATCGCATCGCCTACATCGCGCTGCTTGCCTTGCATGGCTTGCACCACGCAGTTCGCGTCCATGTCCCCTGACCGTCATCAGATGGGTTGCATCTCATTGATTGCACCATACACTTCGTTCATTCCTAATCGTGCTCATTTCCAATTCTGCCCGTTTCTGATTGTTCCCGGCCCCCCAAATAACCAGGAAGAGGCCCAGGACAGAACGAGGAGAAACGAAAGGATCCTGCCCCACCAAAAATATCAAAGAACCCTCGACGAAGTAGAAGTGAAGAACGTGTACAGCTTGCATCAAGTTGGGCGTGTCCCCCTCCAGGGGGCTTTTCGACGAAACAAATATTCAAAAAAAACTAAAAGAATTGTCAAACATATTTTTTTGACTAACCCCATGCCCAGGATAATAATGTACCCCCCCCTTAAGTCGTTAGTTTTTTTTCATCGTCGACCAATAAGAATTTGGTCGGGGGCGCGGGGGCGCGGAGGCCGAACTTCATTATCACGGGGAAAGTTCGCCATCGAGGTTACTTCTTTCTTATGTTGAGATAACAACATCAAGCGAAGCGAACACGTTGTTTCAGGATGTCTCAAGCGAAACCAATGTCCTTCTGTCTCTTTGTAATTATTTATGTCTCTCTTTCTTTCTTTCTCTGTCTCTCTCTCTGTCTCTCTATCTCTTTCTCCTCCTCCTCCCACTGGCGCCCTGAACTTGTTTATCGCTGGGTTTGATCATCCTGGGGAAATGAGGCATGTGAGCTACCCTACACAAGCAGATGAAAAGTTTAATTTGCATCAAGCGCTTACAAATTAAATCTAATAAGTTTTAAACTTTGGATTTTTGCTATCTCCTTCTCCTCTCCTCCTCTTGCTCTTTCTCCTCCTCCTCCCTCAAGGATGTCTCAAGCGAAACCGATGTCCTTATGTCTCTTTGTAGTTCGTTCTGTCTCTCTTTCTTTCTTTCTCTGTCTCTCTCTCTCTCTGTCTCTCTATCTCTTTCTCCTCCTCCTCCCCCTGGCGCCCTGAACTTGTTTATCGCTGGGGTTGATTATCCTGGGGAAACGAGGCACGTGAGCTACCCTACACAAGCAGATGAAACTTTTAATTTTCATCAAGCGTTTACAAATTAAACCTACTAAGTTTTGAACTTTGGATTTTTGCTATCTCCTTCTCCTCTCCTCCTCTTGCTCTTTCTCCTCCTCCTCCCTCAAGGAAGATGTCTCAAGCGAAACAGACAAATATTTCGAGGATGTCTCAAGCGAAACAAGCAATTCGTCGAGGATGTCTCAACCGAGACAATCCTCCAGATATCTTTGGCTTTTTCCATTTGATATCTCTTTATTCCCTACCTAGGCTCTGCCTAGAAGGGTTCTTACTCTCTAGCTCAAAGGGGCCGGGCAGTGGAAAGCGCCCCGGGCGGTTCCCCTAGTCCCCGCCCCGCGGTTCCCCCCAGTCCCCTGGGAGCTTTAGCTTTAGCTTTAGCTTTAGCTTAGCTTTAGCTTAGCTTTAGCTTAGCTTTAGCTTGGCGTTTCGCTTAGCTTTTCGCTTAGCGTTTAGCTTAGCTTTAGCTTAGCTTTAGCTTAGCTTGAGCTTAGCTTGAGCTTAGCTTGAGCTTAGCTGTGGCTTAGCTTTAGCTTAGCTTTAGCTTAGCTTTAGCTTAGCTTTAGCCTATAGTTAGCTTAGCTGTAGCTTAGCTTTAGCGTACCTGTTGCTCAGCTTTAGCTTAGCTTTAGTTTAGCTTTAGCTTAGCTTTAGCTTAGCTTTAGCTTAGCTTTAGCTTAGCTGTGGCTTAGCTTTAGCTTAGCTTTAGCTTAGCGTTACTGTTACTACTAATGCTGCTTTCCTAGGGGTTCCAACTCCTAGGTAGGGTCGCACTGGGATAATGCTGGCTCTGGCGGGCAACTTTTATCCCCCCGAAAACCCCGAACTTTACTATCCCTTGGGTTTATTATCCGCAGCTAGGGGTTATTTACCTACCTAGGCTCTGCCTAGAAGGGTTCTTACTCTCTGGGCTTAAAGTGGCCGGGCAGTGGAAAGCGCCCCAGGCGGTTCCCCCAGTATCCGCCCCGCGGTTCCCCCAGTTACGTCCCCTCAGCTTAGCGTCGCTTATCTCATCTTAGCTTAGCTTATTTCATCTGAGCTTAGCTTAGCTTCACCGTAGCTCAGGTTTGTCTCAGCTTAGCTTACCTTCATCTTAGCTTCGCTGAGTTTTAGCTTAGCTTAGCTTAGCTGAGCTGAGCTTATTAGTTCAGCATAGCGCAGCGCTGCATTAGCATAGCATATCATAGCATAAACATAGCCAAGCATAGCACAGCATAACATAGCCCAGCATAACGCAGCATAGCATAGCATAGCATAGCATATCATAGCCTAGCGCAGCTTAGCATAGCATATCATAGCTTATCATAGCTTAGCATAGCACAGCGCAGCATACCATATAATAGCATAGCATAGCATAGCTTAGCATAGCGCAGCATAGCATAGCATAGCATAGCGCAGCATAGCAGGGCATAGCACAGCATAGCATAGCAACTAATGTTGTTTTCCTGGGGGCTCCAACTTCTAGTTGGGGTCGCCCTGGGGTAATTTTGAGTTTCCCCCCCTGAAGAGGGACAGGCCCGACTGTAAAGCTTGCACCACATGCAGTGGACCGCTCCACCTGCGCGTGCACGGTGACTCGGCAGCCTGCCGGGCCTCCACGCCGGGCAGCCCTCTCGTCTCCGGAACCCCCCCCCGGCCGCTATGGGAAGCGCCGTGGCCGGGAGAGGCCCGGCTCGGCGAGCGGGAGGAGCCCGGCCTGTTCCTCGATGGGGCCAGGGCGGGAGGAGGGCTGCCCAGGCCTTCGAGCGGGTGTTCTTCCCTCTTCTCCCTGCACGTCGTTCCTTTCTGATCGTGCTCGCTTCTAGTTGTGCTCGTCTCTAGCTGTTCCTGGCCCCCCCGCGGCCGGGACGAGGCCCAGGATGGAAGAATTCGAAACGAAAGGATCCTGGCCCCCAAAAAAATCAAGGAACTCTCGAAGAATAAGAAATGAGCAATGTGTAACCATCCTGTGGTGTTGGGAACTCGTTTTGAAGAGACAGCACCCCGCGTTCCTTCCTTCCTTCTTTCCCGCTGCCCCCATCCCTCCTCCCCCTCCTCCCTCCTCCCACCCACCTCGTCTTCGTCCTCGTCATCGTCATCATCGTCATCATCATCGCCATCGACATTATCCACATCATCATGATCACCACCATCGCCATCGTCAGCGCCGCGCCCCTGACACGGTTCGTTACACCACAGGGAGCTCCACCGAAGGCCAAAGTGGCAGCGGTTGCATGCGTCACCGCCCCATTTTGGCACACCCCTCAAACCGTTCGTGGCCCCATAGGGAGCTCCACTGAAGGCCTCAGCGGGAGCGCCCGCATGGCACCGCAGCCCCATTTCGGCACACCTCTCACACGGTTCGTGGCCCCACAGGGAGCTCCACCGAGGGCCCCAACGGGAGCGTCCGCGTGGCACCGCCGCCTCATTCTGGCACACCCCTCACACGGGTCGTGGCCGCATGGGGAGCTCCACCGAATGCCCCGGTGAGGGCGTCCGCATGGCACCGCCGCCCCATTTGGCACACCCCTCACATGGTTCGTGGCCCCAAAGGGAGCTCCACCGAAGGCCTGAACGGGAGCGTCCGCATGGCACCGCCGCCTCATTTTGGCACACCCCTCAAACGGTTCGTGGCCCCATAGGGAGCTCCACCGAAGGCCCCAGCGGGAACGTCCGCGTGGCACCGCCGCCCCATTTCGGCACGCCCCTCACACGGTTCGTGGCCCCATAGGGAGCACCACCGAAGGCCCCAGCGGGAGCGTCCGCGTGGCACATCCGCCCCACTTCGGTACACCCCTCACATGTTTCGTGGCCCCCATAGGGAGCTCCACCGAAGGCCCCGGTGGGGGCGTCCGCATGGCACCGCTGCCCCATTTCGGCGCACCCCTCACACGGTTCGTGGCCCCAGAGGGAGCTCCAACGCAGGCCCCAGCGGGAGCGTCCGCATGGCACAGGCCGCGCTCTGGGCTCGGGCGAAACCAAGAATACTCCGTCTCGCCCGCGTCAGCTTTTCTCCCTCTCCTGCACGCCGCAGTCCTTTTTGCTGCCCCCCTACTTCGCCTCCTTTCCCTCGAGGCACTCGCAGCAGCATATGGTTGGGTTCTTCGATAGGCTAATTTCAAACAATGACCCCACGGAGGTCTGGACCCCTTCCCGGTGACCGGTTTCTCACATCACGGTCCCAGGGCAGAAGATCGCCAAACATCCGCCGTTGTACGGGTACAAGACGCTGGGGGGAGGAAGCGGACAGAAGAATGAGCTGCACCCTGTGTGAGAAGAAAACACGGGGACACAAATAACACAAACACTCGGAACTCCTCGCGGACTTATTGGATCCGCGCTAGGCCCTCATGGCGGCGCTCCGCGAGACAGAAGGGGGTCTGGCGCCAACCGATACCAAAATCCGCGTTGACCTCCGAAAGTCTATGTGTATGCAGCTTTGTTGTTTCTCTGCTCATGCTACCACGGCCTATGCAAACAGTGAGGACGGAGGAAGGAGAAGGAGGGAGGAGCGAGGATGTGGCAAGGAGGAGTGAAGGGCTGACGATCAGGGGGGATGGAGAGAACTGGCGAACGAAGGAGGAGGAGGCGGAGGAGGGACAGGAGGAGGAACGAGGAAGCCGAGGACAAAGGAAAAGGTGAGGAGGAGGAGGAGGAGGAGGAGGAATCGAACGAGCATGAGCAAAGGCGCAGCGAACATGCTGCGAATAATGCCAGAGCCGGAAGCGAGACCGAGTTGGCGGCGTGCCCAGGCACCCGACGGACTCATATGTCCTTCCCTGCGGGCCCAAACGGCTTCGGCCCATTCCCCAGGGCTGAGTTGCTGCCTTGGGCCTGTGCTCGCAGACCATGGGCCCCGAAGCTGGCGCCCACGAACCGAACTCGCAGCAGCGCGGCCGGCCGCGGAAGCAATGGGGCAAAAAAGTACATCGACTTACAGTTCACCGGTACCATAAGGACGCACGATAAGGATGCAAGGGCCTGTGACGGCCCTTTCGAGGCTTTTCGAGCGGGGCGAGGCTAACGAAAGTGGCAAAGGATGGACCGAGGAGGGAAAGATGCAAAGGCACCACCTTTGAAGGTTGCCCATGCTTACCATGTGGGTCGACTTTACAAAGTGTGCGTGGATCCCCGCTATGTCCTCCTCCCCTTCCCCCCCCAGCTGCAACCTCCTGCATCACTTTCCACGCACATGCACTCTCTCCCGCAGCAGCCTCCATCGAGCACCCTTCTGCCCACGCGTCCCTCGGGATGCTTGGCTTGACCGCGGCGGCCGAGGCAGGCATGACCCCCCCTGGCCCTGAGAACGCTGGCCGCGTGCAAGAGCGAGGGGTAGCCGAGCCCATCGTCGGCCCTGAGCTCGGCGAGTCCGCCTGGAGGCAGGTCTGCGCTTTACGGGCAGAAAGCCACGGCGCTGGAACCAATTCTCGGCCGCGACAGTTGTAGCCCTCTTCCTCCCCCTCCTCCTCCTCCTCCTCCTCCTCCTCCTCCTCCTCCTCGCCCTCCCTGCGGCGGATCGCCCAGGGGCGGGCATTACAGACGCGATCGGAGCCTCTGGGCACACGGCACGGCATAGCACGCAAACACGAGCACGGCACGGCACATTCGTCGCACTCTGGAGCACAGGCACGGCAATGCACGACACGCAGGCACGGCACATGCTTCGCATTCGCATTCTGGAAAAATTATCCCGGCAAAGCAACCTAACAGCGATGTGTAGAAGCATATCTGAAAGCATTCCCCTTAAGATTCAGATGAAAATCCAGTTGTCGAATTCTGCTGTTCTCGCAGTCGTAGTCGCATTCGCGATGACAGTCGCAGCGGCAACGGCAGTCGCAGTCACAGCCTCAGCCTCAGCCTGCCTCAGCCTCAGCCTCAGCCTGCCTCAGCCTCAGCCTGCCTCAGCCTCAGCCTCAGCCTGCTTCAGCCTCAGCCTCAGTCTGCCTTCAGCCTCGGCCTCAGCCTCAGCCTGCCTCAGCCTCAGCCTGCATCAGCCTCAGCCTCAGCCTCAGCCTGCCTCAGCATCAGCCTGCTTCAGCCTCAGCCTCAGCCTGCCTCAGCCTCAGCCTCAGTCTGCTTCAGCCTCAGCCTCAGTCTGCCTTCAGCCTCGGCCTCAGCCTCAGCCTGCCTCAGCCTCAGCCTGCCTCAGCATCAGCCTGCCTCAGCATTCAAAATGTGGCCCAGGAATGGAGTTCTGGGAACTAGAAGAACACGAAGTGGCCTACAGTTGGCTCCGGGCATTCAAAATCATGCCCAGGAATGGAGTTCTGGGAACTTGAAGAGCACGAAGTGGCCTACAGTTGGCTCCGGGCATCCAAAATGTGGCCCGGGAATGGAGTTCTGGGAAGTCGAAGAGCACGAAGTGGCCTACAGTTGGCTCCGGGCATCCAAAATGTGGCCCGGGAATGGAGTTCTGGGAAGTCGAAGAGCACGAAGTGGCCTACAGTTGGCTCCGGGCATCCAAAATGTGGCCCGGGAATGGAGTTCTGGGAGCGCCAAGAGCGATTTTGCGAGGATGTCCTAAGCGATTTGGGCTTCGGCGGCAGCCGTTCCGGGTCCCGCCCCGACCCCCCTGTGGAGTCATCTGCTGCTCTCTTTTGAGACCACTAGAAACCTATCAGCAAAAGCTGTTAGGTAAAAACAGAGACGGCACAACGCACGGCACGGCACGCCAGCGCAGAACTGCAAAGGTTCTGCATCCAAAATTTTAGAAGCAGGCGCAGCACGGCACGGGCATGGCGCGGCATTCCAGCGGCACACTGTCGCACTTCAAACTGCAGAGACGGCTCCTTTCAAGCATACCAAGCCCCTTGCAGCATTCGCTCCATGGGGAACAACAACTCCCAACCCCCCTTCTCCTCCTCCTCCTCCTCCTCCTCCTCCTCCTCCTCCTCCTCCTCCTCCTCCTCCTCCTCCTCCTCCTCCTCCTCCTCCTCCTCCCCCTCCTAAAACGTGTGTGCTCCTCCTGGCCACCCCTTCCTTTCAACCCAGACAAGCGACGACTCGACTTGTTCAAGTCGCTGGCCCCAAGTCGCTGGCACCTCGAGGTCTCGACCCCGTCAAGAGACGTATCTCTTTGTTTGAGATCCGTTGTTTCTTGACGGTCTCGGGGCAGACACTCCATCTTGACACGAAGAATGGCGACAGGTATACGCAGATAACCTTTCGAGGTCGACAAATAAGTGAGCGCTCGATGCGACGTTTTCCCGAAATTCCTGGGATGTGTTCAGACCATGATTCTGGAAGGGATCCAGCCGTGGCAACGAGGGTTCCTCAGGAGCCCAATACACTTGCCCAACTACATACCCAACTGCGCAGTTCTTCAGTGAGGAGGGGCACCAATGGAAAATTGCCCGAGGACTCCCCAGTCGAGGCGAACGTTTGAATGAACGCTGCATGCACAAGAGCACATCGCCAGATGTGCACGATCAGCGATACCCTCCTCATCTTCTCCGTGCCTCCCAGCAGCCCACGAAAGTGGCGACAACTGCGCAGTGAGTAGCTTCCTAAGGAGACGCGACTGGATCCGCGTGGCCCTGGACTCCGCTGGACCTCCCAGGAACCAACGAAAATGGCGACCCTTGCCCAATTCGCAGCCACCCAGGGAACCGTGAGGTCTCGGCTGGGTGTGTACTTCCCTTCTCCGCCGTGCCTCCCAGGAGGCCACGAAAGTGGCGACAATTGCGCAGTTCCCAACCACCCAGAGAGCCGCGAGAGCTCGGCTAGATGCGCGTACTCCCCTACTCCGCCGTGCCTCCGAGGAGGCCACGAAAATGGCGACGTTTACGCAGTTCGCAGCCACCCAGGAAGCCGCGAGGTCTCGGCTGGATGCGCATACTCCCCTACTCCGCCCGTTCTCCCAGGAGCCCACGAAAAGGTCGACAATTGCGCAGTTCCCAGCCACCCAGTGAGCCACGAAATCTCAATTGGATGCACTTGCACCTCCACTCCGTCAACCCTCCCAAGAGCCCAAGGAACAGGCGACGGTTGCGCAGTTCCCAGCCCCAGGGAGCCGCGAAGTCTCGACTGGGTGCGCTTTCTCCATGGGGGCATAGAAACGTGGCGCGACAGCTGCGCAATTCGCAGCCACCCAAAGAGCCGCGACATCTCGGCTGGATGCGCGTACTCCCCTACGCCGCCGTGTCTCCCAGAGGCCCACGAAAGTGGCGGCAATTGGCTAGTTCGCAGCCACTCAGGGAGCCGTGAGATCTCGGCTGGATGAGCGTACTCTCTTACTCCGCCGTGCCTCCCAAAAGGCCGCGAAAAGACGACAATTGCACAGTTCCCAGCCACCCAAGAAACCGCGAGGTCTCGGCTGGATGCTCGAAGTCCCCTACTTCCCCGTGCCTTCAATGAGCCCACGAACATCGAACAGGGCGACACTAGTTGGGCAGTTCGCAGCCACCCCAAGGAACTGCGATATATCGGCTGGATGCGCGTACTCCACTACTCCGCCGTGCCTCCGAGGAGGCCACGAAAGTGGCGACGTTTGCGCAGTTCGCAGCCACCCAGGAAGCCGCGAGGTCTCGGCTGGATGCGCATACTCCCCTACTCCGCCCTTTCTCCCAGGAGCCCACGAAAAGGTCGACAATTGCACAGTTCCCAGCCACCCGGGTAGCAGCACAGGAGGAGGCAGGATGAGGCGGCAGGAGAGAGATGGAGACCACAATGCTAAATTCAAAGCGAGTGCTGAATACGCAGGCGGGTTGGGACTAAAGAATGGAAAACCACAAAAATGTAGAACATAACTAAAATGCGTGCGGGATGAAGAGCACCGGGAGCATGCGCTGGTCATCCTCACCACCTGCAAACGGCCTATGCATACCTGGCGAGAACAGCTGGGTCGGGCGCTTCCCGGTGAAATGACTGTCTGCATGTTCTACGCTCTCTGGACACCGATGGAGGACGAGAACGACGGGAGGCGCACCCGAGGCGATGCACCATTGACACCCCCTGACCCCGTCTTGCGTGTGAGCCCATGGATCTCCTCTGACCCAGTGGATCTCTTCTGATCGCCGCTGGCCGCTTGGCGGCCGCGCGAGCTCGGAGGCCGCGTGGGCTCAGCAGGGGTGCGCTGGGCTTAGGAGGGAAGCGTCGGTTGAAGGGAGGGTCGGAGCTAACCTGCAGTGGGCTTCCGGCCGAGCAAAGAGAGAGGATGCACTGCAAAAGAAGGGGGCCAACACAAACACGGGCTCCTGCACCGATGCTCAACGACCATCCTGCACCTCCACTGTTGTCTGGGAACTTGAGGGTGCACGACGCCACGCTGAACACCAAGGTCAGAGTCTCAACCTCAATCCCTTCCTCGAGGACGGTCATGCTGGCATTCGTGACCTCGTTTCCCAAATCTTGCGGAATAACCCTATCCGCTGCCAGCGTCGCAGACGAACGCAAACTGGCACGGCCGGCTGAGGACTGGTGCGACCAAGGTAAACATTCATGGCTCATGGTATTCCAAAGATTGCCATAGGCTGAACACCCAGGACGACGAGATTTGGTATTCGGCTTTGGAGCTCAGGAGAATGGGCCTTTTCCCCCTTCATAGCCGGCAGCTCTGCGGTTGACCCGGAGTTTCTGCAGAGAATCTTATGCAAGCGCGCGAGCCTCTCCTACGCGACACCGCTAGCTTGGGGAATGTTTGGCTCTTTCACAGATCCCACCTTCAATCGGAAGAAGAGAAAGCAGAGATGCGGAGGTTGCCAGAACGCTGCGCACTCCATGACGGCTGAGTCACATTGCCAGAGGCCCCCAAACCGGCCCAAGAGAGCTCCAAGGGGAAGCCCAAAAGGCCCTCGAGGAAGCAAAACACACTGCTTCTCCATCAATGGCCCCTTCTGGCTTCTGGAAGCCGAGGACGGCCGAATGTCACGAAAAGTCCCAAGACAGCCCAACATGCTTCCAGGAGGGCCCCAGGACGGCCGAGGGCAGGCTCCAAGACGGCCGAATAGGCAGGACGGCCAAGGGCAGGCTCCAAGACGGCCGAATAGGTCCTCGAGATGCCCCACGGGGGCCCCGAGACGGCCCAAGAGGCTTCCAAGAAGGTCCAAGGTGACCCCAAGACGGCCCAACGAAGGCCCCGATAGGGGGAAAGAGCTGACCTTGACAGATTTCTCGTACAGGATTGCCTCGAATACCCTCAACGTGCCCCCCAAGAGGCCCCCACCACTCACTCAGAAGCCCTCATGAGGCCCCCAAGATGCTCAAGAGACCCATACGAGGTTACCCAGAGGTCCCCCACAGGCCCTAACGATGCCTCAGAGGAGCTCGAATGTAAGTCTTTGACTAGACCTCCTTCACGCTGCGCTGCTGCGCTGGAAAGGTGGCGGGGTTTGCCGCAGGCAGCTGGATACGAAGCGGTCTAGTGGGGGGGGAGTGTGAACATGAGTCGGGCCCCTGAAAGAAGGAACGCTAAATAAGAAACGAAGCTCCTTCTTGGCCCTGTAAGCGCCTCCGCGCCCCAGGAGGGCAAGAGGAACAGCACTGGAGAGGAACCTGAGGAACATCGAGCCCCTTCCGAACCCAAACTGTTCCTTATTTCAGCGTCTTGACTTTAGATCGGGGTATGAGCGAGCCTGGACGTGAATGCGGGCCTCCTGGAGTTTCCCTCATCCCCCCGAGACTCCTTCGGTCGCGGGGTCTTCTGGGACCTCCCAGGGGGCTTCCTGGGGCCTCCCAAATCCCCGGCAGTTCCGGAGCCTCTGGGAGCCGCCTGAAGCCTCCTGGGGGCATCACAGAGCGCTTCCACTGCCAGCACCCGAGGCCTCTTGAAAGCTTCCTGAAGCCTCGTCGGGCCCCCAAGGGAGGAAGAGGAGAGGGAGGGGGCGAGAGTGGGGAGGAGGAGGAGGAGGAAGAGGAGGAGGAGGAGGAGGAGGAGGAGGAGGAGGAGGAGGAGAAGGCGGAAGAGGAGGGGGAGGAGGCGGAAGAGGAGGGGGAGAAAACACGTCTACCCCCCACCCGCCCACCCTGGAAGCGGCTTTTCTACAGACCCGTGCCACGACCCCTGGCGGTCGCCTCCTTGAGAGGTCCAAGTGCGTTGCCGGCTGCGTCCCAGTGATCATGATATGATGAGAGAAACACGTCAACTTGAGAAACATTGCTGAAGGGGCCCCAGGTCACACAAAGAAATACACACACATAAAAATGTTCCCCATATTTTCCCAGATCTTCTGGGCTTTTGTCTCCACCTCCCTTCCCATATTTTCCCATATTTTCCTGGGAATCGGCAATTAGTTGTGTCTGTGTGTTTTTGTCCCTCCCGAATTGCATCCTGCCTCAGAGGCCACGGCATTTCTGGGCGGGGACGGCTTCCAGCAGCACCCGAGGGGAGTCGCCCATTCCGAACCCGACAAGAAACGACAACACCCAAACCTTCCAGTCGGACTCGGTTGGACAGGACACGCGAGAGGACACAAGACCCTTCCGAGGGCCACATTGCCACAGGAATGTAGGAAGCATGGGTCGCGAGACACAGCACACAAGGGTACCCTTGATTTGGCAGGGTCGACCTACTAATCTGGGCCGATTGTATGGTGAGATCCGTGCGTCGTAGTGCCAACTGTTTCCCGACAGATCTGCCAAACACCAGACCCAAGAATGCCCAGACAGGATTCCGAATGCTTGGATCCAGAATACAAGTTCGCCTCACACAAAGGGTATCATTCCACATGCCCTCGGATCTAATCACGCTGCCGTGAGTGAGTGAGGGTTCACCTTGAACCAGCAATTCTATAACGTCGCGACATGCCGAAGTTCGTGTTGAAGCTGATTACTGAAACTGATTCAGCCTTTCGGCTCTTCATCCGTTGTCATGCCAGATCAATAGCTGAATTCCGTAAGGCGCCGGGCCGTTGCCACCAGGGTCCACTCAATATTCCGAGGGCAAAGACCTTCAAAACGAGCCTGTCAAGCCGTCGACCCGAGGGCTACAGCACATTAGCCAGGAGTTGAGAATATTTCGGAGTTGCCGCCGCGAAGGAATCATCACACCGACAAACAAGCCCCATGTTAGGCCCGAGTCCAGGGGCAAGTGAGGGTGCTCATCGTAGCATAGTTCTGCTCATTTGCAAAATCGCTTGTTTCAGTCCGCTCCTACCCCAATACGCCTTCAAACGCCAACAGTCAGAGAAATACAGCAAAACTCACTTCCTAGACTCGCACCAACCCGAAGCCTGATGGGGCAAACACATATGCGCATATACTGTCACAAACCCGCGTGATGCGCGACTTTAGGACACGGGCGATGCGACGTATCACTACCCTGTTACATATGATGCTCGAGAAGACGATGCTGATTCCAATTGTGCAAGCTCTGCAAGGAAGGGGGTGCGGGGATAACGACCAACATCGCGCGCGAGTCGTCCGGGCCGACAGGCCCGTCTGTGCCGCCCAGGCCCTCTGGGAGGCCCTGGCGACTTGTTCTGCCTGGGCCTGGGCGGTCTAGGCTGGGCGATCCGGGATCCGACCCGCCTGCCGCGCCAGAATGGGCACATATCCTTGGATCTTGCGGTATCCAGATCGGGCGGCCTTTCTCCGGAAAGCATCATCTATACTGTCGCTTGTCGGCCGGGGGTGCTGGGGGGTAACCCACCTGGGGAGTTGACGGACACTGCCCTACAGGGACACTTCAGGATCACTTTTGGAGCCAGCAGGGGCCCAAAAGGGGCCTGAAAGGGCCCCTGTGGGGCCCTTTTCTTCACTCCCCGTTCGTGTCACCCCCTGTTACCTCCCGCCCGAGCTTCTCCGTGGCAGAACGGTGTATTCTGGCCCCCGCAGTCTTCAAGGGGGCAAACGAGGCAGGGCTCGCATGTGGCCACCGACAGATCGGGCGGCCCTTGTCCGGAAGGCATCATCCATACTGTCGCTTGTCGGTGGCAGAACGGTATACTCCGGCTAGATGGCAGCACTCACACCACCTGCCATCCGTCCCCTCTGCCATGCCTGCGGGCAGGCAGAGCCCCCGCCGCTGAGCCAGAACAGCTGCAGGAACCCTCCAATGCTCCATGAGCAAGATCGGCCAGCAATCTATGGGCCCTTTCCTCTGAGGGATGTCGTTGCGAGGAAGGGGTTGAGAGGATGAAGGGTATGAGCAGTAGTATTCCGATGCAACGCACGAGACCTTCGAGCACCTACGGGACAGGATATCCTCATTTCTCGCAACCCAATCCGCCCAACCCGATATTTGCCGGCCCCCCTGCGGGGTCATTAAGCTTGCTGCTCCCAGTGCCAGTTCCAGTTTCTAGTCTCAAATGTTACAATATTGTTTTCTGCTTCCTACTGTAACTTGTTACTATCCGCGCGACGGGAGGGAGCCGGAAACCGCCCTGGTCAGCGTCCCCCGGGAGGGTTCTCAGAATTTCCGGGGGCCTTGGGACACATAAAAGTACATGAGAGTCGTGCTTCCGAGGCCACGATCCCTCGTAAAATACATGGTGTTCGCTGCCCCGAGGCCAAGAACCCTATGCAAATCACGCTGTATTCGCGTCCCCGAGGCCACGATCCCTCGTAGAATACGCCGTGTGCGCGCTCATCAGGCCCCCCCCCTCGGAAATTATGCAGCGTTCGCGCTCCCGAAGCCACAATCTCTTGCAAGTATGCAACGTTCGCGCCTCCGAGACCACGATTCGTCGAAAATTACTCCGCATTTGCGTTTCTAGGGCCACCAACCCCTGTAAATCACCGAAGCCGCGATCCCTTTCAAATCACGCCACATTCGCGCCCCCGAGGCCACGATCTTCTATAAGAGGCCCCAAGAGGCGCCCAAGATGCGCCCAAGAGGCCTCCAAGAAGCCTAAAAGATACCCCATGAGGCCCCAAGAGGCCCCCAAGAGGCGCCCAAACCGCCTCCAAGAGGCCCCCGAGGGGCTCCCCAGGACACCCCAACACATATCACATATACAAGAGGCCTCAGACCCACAACCCAGGCACGGTGGCGGGATGTGCCGAATGCCCCTCGGATCCGCCGCCCCCTTCTGCTTCAGCAGAGGGGTGCCTGGCGTGCCAGACCCTATCGGTTTTGGTTTTGGTTCTTTTTCCAAAAGAACTCTCCCAATGGGTTTCCGCCCGTCCCGCCGGGGTCCTGGGGTTTTTTCCACGCCCCAATTTTCTGCCCAAGACGGCTCCAAGATGGCCTCCAAGATGGCCAAGATGGCCTCCAAGATGTTCCAAGATGGCCTCCAAGTCCGCCCAAGATGGTCCAAGGCGGCCTCCAATAGGGCCCAAGAGAGTCCAAGAGGGCCCAAGACGGGCCAAGAGGCCCCCCAGAGGCCTCCCAGACGGCCCAAGAGGCCTCCAAGAGGTCCTCCAGGAGGGCCCGAAGAGGC